GTATCGTAGGCCGAATCACAAGCCAACTATGCTTTGCCTCCTTTTCACTCTTAAGAGTGCGATAGAATTGTTAAAAACCGAATATAATAATTCTTAAAACCCCAAAAAGTAATTCTAAAGGCTTGAGAACAAACAACTCCTTGTCCACTACACAAAATAATGGAGAGAGAGAGAGAGAGGGAGAGTATTGTTCTGCAGATTAATCAGAGGTTTGTTATGTTCCAGTCCTTTTGCTTTGATGGAAATCTGCCGGAAAACGGGAGAGGAGATTTGTTTAAACTGCAAGGTACTCTAGGGGCCTCAACCAGATAGAATGATTTTGCTAATAAAAAGCAAGAAAAAGTCTAAGAAACAATCTAAAATTAATGGGTAATATAGATAAAAAAAAATAGATATTTTGTAATTTTTTTTATATATAATTATATGAGAAGTTACAAAAATTACATATTTTTTTATTAAGACGATTCAAAAAAAAAATGATTAGGGCATACCCAATATACGAGACTCTTGTTATTGCGGTGTTTAAGAAATGATAGATGTTTACAGTTTCAAATCTAGCAAGAAAACATAGTTCACCTGATTTGCATAGTGTGCGGGTAACTAGTATATTTGAAATTTATAGCGTAATTATGAGTTAAAAAAAATAGGTGATTACAATAACTTTTCGTAATCAAATCAAATGTGAGTGGATTAGCTTGAAAGATGCTTCTCCGTGACATCAGGACATGTTAGGTGCCAAGTCAATTGAGATTGTTAAATTGCCCTAAAGGCAGGATATTCTAATCTATAAGTAATCTTTTGCCATTTTGAAAATGACGTACAATAAGCCTTATGTATTTATCATGAAGGATAACTTTAATTTAAAACTCAGATGTTATGAAGAATTTATCTTTTATAAATATCGTAGTTCCGGTGTGAATAATTTATCTTTAACTAGACCTAAGAAAAAATTAATCGAGACGTACATAAACTGGTCCAAACACTTATCACAGTTAAACCAAAAAAAGAAAATAACCTACAAATCTTTAACTAATCTAGCCCTTTAGCTTTGAATTTCAGCCATTCAACCTTTAATTGTTTTAATACTCCTTCAAAAGGTCTACTAAAAGTGTCTTTTAGCAATTTTAAGGATTCCCTCGGTTCAATAAAATAGCTATTTAACCATTGCTTCTAATCTGGTAACAAATAAAGATAAGTATATCTATTTAAAAAATAAAAAAATAATAATAATAATCTGGTAACAAACCTCAACCCTTTGTGACAATACTGATGTTACAGTAATGCTCACATGATCATCATTCATTCCGATGGCAAGAGGGTAGTAGTCTTAAAAAGTAGATTAAGGACTAGATATAAGTAAGCATGGACAAAGAACATTTCGATACAAGTAAACAATAATGTTGTTTTAAGCTTTTTTTTTTTTCAAGGTTATAGTATCGATTATAGATTTAATCCTTGGAGAGAACATGAGTAAACAATTATTACCTTTAAGAAGTATTCACTCCTTAACTTCTTGATTGAAAGAATCTGGGATAATCAACTGGGACCAACTAATTATCGAGAACCTTAAAAAAAAAAAACAATGACCAGATTGGACTGACTATGCACATAACTTTATATTGGAAATCAGAAAAAAAAAAAAAAAGTTGAACAGCTCCTAATTTCCAAAAGAACTAGTCGGACAGACGACATACCATAGACAACTCTTGTCCTAATACAAACAAACAAACGAAGGCAATCTGACTGATGGTTTACGGGTTGAGTTTGTTTTATGATAATTTAGAAGTTTTAGATTCAATATTTTTCATATCTTTAAGAGTTGCTCATGTTTATTTTTTAGAGAATATGTTTTAAACTCGTTCGAATTATTATGATCAATATTTAAATTTGAGATAATAATTAACATGGTCAATATTTAAATTTGAGATAATAATTAACGCAAGGGTGTTATTAATAATAAAAAAAAAAAGAAAAAAGAATTTAGAATCTCCTAATTATCTCAAAAATGAGCGAATATCCACCGGAGATAAACAAAATGTTTGAAAACTATAGAATAGAATTCCGTACTGAGTCAGCACTGAGACAAACGAACAGGTCAGGAATCAAAAAGAAACCAGTGGCTTAGCTGGGAACACGTGCGAGGTAGTAACAGCACGTGCATTGGGAACCAAGTGTTTTTGGCTGCACCGGCAGTGTTGCCCGGTTGACTACAGACAGACAGGGTCTCTGAGGCGTGGCTCGTGGTCCGCAGTGTCCCTCTCCCCAACCCCACGACCTCTTTCACTAATACTGTTTAGTCTCTGCACAACGTTCGTGTGCCGCTAAACGACACCGCCTCCTTAGTTCCCCTGAACTCCCCGTACTCTCTCTCTCTCTCTCTCTCATCTATACCTGACACACCACAATTACTCAGCATAAATCAATATAAAATTAGCAGCTATTTGTTTAATATTAAGGGGTAAAAATGGTAAACTATTAGATTTCGCATAACAAAAGAGACATGTTAAAGTTAAATATCTTGATTTGTTTATTATTTAATTACCCGTTTAAAAAGTTAATATATCACTAAGTTACTCCTTTACCACACCATTACTCATTTATTACCTAATTATCAATTTAATATGATCCAATCTATTGCAGAATTAAGACTCTAAAGAAAAAAAATTTATTGTAGAATTAATGGATAACAAAGGTCGTGTTATGTAACCTGTTTAATAAACTAGTATAAGGGTTGAATGATTTTTAGGACGAATCCTCTATGACCCAAAATGAATTGACACGGCCCGATTGTATGACGTACTCTAATCCATGATATACAATTATTATATTATATATGATTTGGAGTAATAATGAAAAAGGATTACAATACACAATAGTAGAAAATTGTAAAATAAAAGAAAGGGAAAAAGATTTTTTCTTAAATTTTCCTTGATTCACTTATACCATACCCCCCTCTTCGATGTATATTCATTTTATATTAGTTACCCAATCTCAATATTAAATATAAATACTAGAAGTCATAATTAGAATAAAATTTCTTGTGGTATATACTTATGATGTGTGATTAAATAAAAAAATATATTCTATAGAACGATTCTGAAAACAAATTGACACGGTACTACATGTTTGTATGACCTACTCTTGTCCATGATAACACATTCGGCTTGTAATTTCTGTAGATCTAATAACAAAAATGATATGTTAAATTTATTTTTTAATTTAACAAATTTAAATAATAAATAAGTGAACTCGGTTCGTCAAGTGAATGAGTTAACAAAAATCTGTTACATATGATATGAACCAATTACATATTATTGATATACAATTGAAATTTAATAAAATATGAATTCATATGTTTTTACAGTTTTAATGACATGTGTTGGAGCAGATAAATTCTCTTATGCAATCGTGTGATGTTGGTGATATCTAGAGTGTAGACATATTATATGGGACCCACGTGGTAAGATCGTTTGTTTTCGAGGGCCCCACTTATAGGAGCCCCACCTCGTCAGTGCCATCCACTAGAGGACATTTGTTGGGTCGAATAAAAGAGGTGGGAGAGACAACCTGGCCCCCCCGCACATTCCTCTGTTCATCTTTGACCTTTGACCACCAAAACCGCAGACCACATTAATATCAGGACCATTCTAACAACCACTAATAAATGTTACTACCCTTCGCTTAAACGAGAAAGAATAATATTACATGAATTTAAAATTTAAATTTGATAATTATAATTATTAATTTTATTGTAAAATTTAATATTTATTAAGATTCACTATATATTCAATAATTATTAATAAATAATGAAGATATAATAGTTTTTATGAAATACTTCTTTGAAAAAAAATATGGCAGTTTATAAATAATTAAGATGAAGATACAAAAAAAATTCATCTGATAATCAAAAATACACCTAACCATGCATTTTCTAGACTTTGGGTACAATATAATATGAGAATTTAAAGAATTAGTGAAAATTAAACAAATAAAGTAAATTTGGCCTGTCTAGTGACTCAAACTTGTGATATTAAGATAGTAGATCATATTAGTTTACAATCCAAATTAGTTCAATGGATTTTTTTTTTAAAAAAATTTGGCCCTTTCAATGGGTCGAACTTATGATATTAAGATAGTAAATCATATAAGTTTTCTATAAGAATTAGTTCAATGATTTTTCTTTTTCCTTTCAATCTTTTACCACAATATCTATACATGTCCTAATATTTGTCATGTATGATCGCCATGTTAAATGCCAAAAGCATAAATATAAAAAAAGACAAATTGTAAACTTAGACGTTCTGAATTATAATTTTGATAATTTTTTTAAAATTTATCTATTCTGAATATCTTAGTTTCAGTGTAGATAGTCTGTTTTTTAATCGGACCACATAGTGAATCAGTCTAAGTACCCATAAACTAATTCGAACATCTCTAACCGTTCAAAAATTTTTTTTTTTGAAAAGAGCAAAAATACAAAGAGGAAAACACCAACCTACAAGAGCATAAAAGCAAAAGCCAGGGCTAGTGGATTATGCAAATCCACCTTAAACAGTAATATCAATTATGCTATTTAATACCAGCTTAGCATTGATGTAAACAGGAGTTGGATTTTCATCAATAAAGTGGGACCCGCCGAAGTCACACATTGCCTTTGACCAACAGCAACTAACTACTGCTTCTGTGGTTCTCCTAACCATAGTTAAAACCTCAGGTAAATTAAACACGTGTGGTGGGTACTTAGTCAGAACAAGCCCAGAAATCACCCACCCTACGGCCTTGTTGGTATGTCTCTCTGTTTCATTTCGTATAAGTGATAGCAAAGCAGACCATTGTGAAAGAGAATTTGCAGAGCACTCAGATCTAGCATACTCTAGTCCTTTCTATAAAGAGAGAGAGTGTGTGTATGCGTTTTGTTCATGATATATATAGAGACAGAAAGACAAAACATATATAAAGAGAGAAGGACATAGTTATATATAGAGAGAGAGAGAGTGCGTATGAGGAACATGCCTGGGAGTTTAGAGCCATTGGACGTGGGGGTTCAGATACCATACCACTTCCGGTGTCCAATCTCGCTGGAACTTATGAGTGACCCGGTGACCGTGAGCACCGGTCAAACTTACGACAGAGCAAGCATAGAATCGTGGGTGGCCACGGGCAATACCACGTGCCCGGTCACGCGTGCACCGCTCAGTGACTTCACGCTCATTCCCAACCACACCCTTCGACGGCTTATCCAGGACTGGTGCGTCGCCAACCGGTCTTTTGGTGTCGAACGTATTCCGACTCCCAAACAACCCGCTGACCCGACCTTGGTTCGGTCCTTGCTGAGTCAAGCCTCGTCCCTGTCGAATCCTCTGAATTCAAGACTCTCTGCGTTAAGGAGACTCAGAGGACTCGCTCGTGACTCGGATAAGAACCGGTCTGTGATCTGTGCTCACAGCGCACATGAAGTTTTGCTTTCTATTGCTTTTTCGAATTTGGATTCGGTCTCGTCCGAGTTGAATCACGAGTCACTGGCCCTTCTGTCGATGTTTCCGCTTTCGGAGTCCGAGTGTATGCTTGTAGCTTCCCGTCCGGATCGAGTTGGTTATCTTGTGGCTCTTCTATTCCATTCTTCCATTGATGTCCGAGTTAACTCTGCTGCGTTGATTGAAATCGTCTTAGCTGGGACGAGATCGCCGGAGCTCCGAGCGGAAATCAGCAATGCCGACGAAATCTTTGAAGGAATTGTTGGAATTCTCACCTATCCAATGGCTTATCCGCGGGCTTTAAAAATCGGAATCAAAGCATTGTTCGCTTTGTGCTTGGTTAAGCAACACCGTCACAAGGCGGTGACCGCCAGAGCGGTAGAGGCGGTGATCGATCGATTGGCAGATTTCGAGAAATGCGACGCCGAGAGAGCGCTGGCCACGGTAGAGCTCCTCTGCCGGATTCCATCTGGATGCGCGGCGTTTGCTTCTCACGCGCTGACTGTACCGCTATTGGTGAAGATAATCTTGAAGGTTTCAGATCGAGCCACCGAGTACGCCGCCGGAGCTCTGCTATCACTGTGTTCTACCTCCGAGTTGACTCAGCGAGAGGCGGTGGCCGCCGGCGTGTTGACACAGTTGTTGTTACTCGTTCAGAGCGATTGTACGCAACGAGCGAAGAGAAAAGCGCAAATGTTGTTGAAATTGCTTCGCGATTCGTGGCCTGAGGACTCAACTGCCAATTCAGATGATTTTGGTTGCAGCGATTTGGTTCCATTTTGATTGTTGAGGATCATGTTCTTCGTCTTCGATGATTAGATCTTTATTTTTGTAGAGATAAAAGAAAAAAAAAAAGTGGAAATTGATATTCTAGATTCAGTATATAATGGATAGTATTTGTGTATGTATTTTTTTCATTTAAGAATTTCCATTGATAATTTCCTTTTTTTTTATATAACTACTTAGTAGGGTCATTTCATGAATCTCTCGGGAATACATTAATTTCGACATAAATAATTTATTTTTAATTTGATCGTGTAGAAGAAGCTAACTTGTACATTTCTGATTATTGAACAGTCTGTACAAAGTAACATATTAAAAACATAAAGAGTAATGCCATATGCACCAAATAATTGTCGAGTGAGCCTGTTAATTTAACGATTGATAATTATTTTGCGCACATAATATTATCGAAGGTATAAATGTGTATTAATCTTTTAGCTTAGCTAGTATACCATGGAAAGTTGCAATAGAAAATAAGTGTCAAAGTTCTCGTAAAATCGAGTTGTTTATGACATGCTATTAGTCATTTTTATAAATCTTAGAGAGCGAGTCCAATGTAATCTTACTTTGACGGTTTTCTCATTATAGGAAAAAAGCAATATGATCACCTTTGGTCTTGTCATTTTTGATCCCTATTTAATCTAGTGTTGGTCGATTTAGTTTTTTTTTTTTCAAAACAATTTAGGCATCTTCCTTGTCCATATCAATTATTTTTAACTGCTCAACCAAACCAACCCATTGCTACCGAAAGCTAGGAGTTCCATTAGAGAGAGAGAGAGCAGATTGGGGGTGTAATATGGATGGTTCAACTACCTTTGACCGTATAGTGCACAAAAAATGGTCCAGTGGGAGAATGGAAACGAAAGGTCTGCGTAGTAATAATGGCATGTTAACAACATTGTGGGGCCTAAAGGGGCCAAACCGCAACCCACATACAGAAGAGGTAAGGGAGAGGTGTTGGTGACTCACATTATCTTGGAAAGAACCCATCAGCCATGGAATCTCATGTCAATGGAATATATATATGTGTGTGTGTGTGTATTTTGGGATGGCTAACAGTGTTCACATGCCAAACCCAACTTTCTTCCATCTCATGACAATGGAATATATATATATATATATATGTGTGTGTGTGTGTGTGTGTGTGTGTATTTGGGGATGGCTAACAGTGTTCACATGCCAAACCCAACTTTCTTCCCACTCTTCATAAGTTTCTGAATGTGAATTCAAATTCTCTTTCAAGTGAAAGCCAACAATTTGGCAAACTAGTATTTGGTATTCACCTAAATAATTTACAATCAAACACAAATCGACTAATTTATTAGATGAGTTTAAGAAGTCAATCCAATTATACTCTATACCAATTAAGATTTTTTTTTTAGTTTAACAGTCAGTGTGTCTGGATCAGTTTATGTGCACTTCGACTAATTCTCTCTTCGATCCAGTTAAAGATAGACCCATCCACGCCAACACTAATGTTCTGTTTGGTAGGGACGATAGAAAGTAGAAGGGATACACTTTCTATCCTTCAAGGATGAAAAGTAAGAAGGATACACTTTTCTTCTTTTGTATTTGGTTAGATGGATGGAAAATAAAAATGTCTATTTTTTTTTATGTTAGCTAAGATTAAGGGTGACAATCGAGTCGTATTGAATCATTATAGGTTTGTGTTAAATATTAGTCAAACATAACTTAATTTATTTAACTAATTGTGTCGTGTCGAGTTGAGTTAAAAATTTTCACCTGGAAAAAATATTTTTTTAATTTAATTTTTAAAATTTTTAAATTTTTTAAAAATATATATATTTTTTACTATTGTATATTTATATGAAATTAATGTATACATAATATATGTATATATAAAAAGATATATAGACAAATAAGATATATCTCAACACAAATAATTAAATTTTTATCCACTTTCTTCCGATTTTGGAGGGATTGATTTTGGTGAGTTGGAAGAAAAGTTAATCTATCCACTTTTTCATCCTTCCTACTTTTCTTATTTACTAAACATGATGTTTTATTTATCTTTCTAATTTTTCATTCTCTCACTTTTCCATCGTACCAAACGGAGTATAAGGTATTCATGAGGAATTGATCCTTCATTGTATGATTTCAAAGGATTATCAAGATTTAAAATCAAGATATCTGAATTTATAACTCGTTTTTATTATCACTTGAATTATCTTTGATCAGGTAAGATTTGTTAAACCCTACTCAGCTACACTCAGCTCTGAGTTTCGGCCCATCCAATAAGTGGTGTTTTGCGCTGGGTTTGCCTTGCACCATAGTCGTGGGTTTAAGTAAAACAGATTGGAGGCAGGCAAAAAGAGCGCAGGCCCAAAAATATAATCAAGGGAAAGTGGTTAGTCCCGTAATATGCAAGAGAGCATTCAAGCTCTCAGTTTGTATGACTATAGAGGAATGGAAATAAGGGTTATAGCAACTAAACTATTTTTTTATTTCTTTGGGTAACGAGGAATTTTTTCAAGACATGGTCATTTTAGACCAAATTTTTACTAAAGTAAACTCTGATTACTTGTAATCACCCGCAAACCACAATTATCAATTAAATTTGAAAGACACAAATGAAAGTCAAACTCTTAACGTCCGAGTCTATGTTTCAATCGCACACTCCTAGACTTCTTGTGCGGGTTACAAGTAAACTATCTTTGTCATACACTTTTTAGTATTGTTGGAGAATATTAAGAAAATTAGAAATTCACATGCAATAGGGTGTATATATATAACTCTCTCTTACATGCAAGAACTAGCAAGTCCCTCACCCACAATGGAGAGCAATAGGTGGCCAACCAACGTGTATTACGTAGTCTTTTGGATTCCACCGGTAAGAGTCTATCGATGTGGTTTCTGGACACTCTCCTTTACTCCTACTCTCTTTATTACTAAGCCAAAAAAAAAAAAAAGGTAGTCTTTTGGATAGGATAAATATTCTCTTTCAAACTGGGTTATTTGAAACCACAATGAGAAACATACTTACCCCATTTGCATGCATATAATAGAGCAACTAACCCCCTTCAACATCTCTCATAATGTGTCTACTCTATTGAGACTATAACTCTGGAAGTCGCTAAACATGTCTTGAACTATGTTATCTACCCAATTACCAATCGGTGAGACCATTTTTATTGATCAAAAAATAATGAATTGAGGAAATTAATAAGAAGTGCAAAGTTTGAGTCGAGATAAAACAATTTGATGTTTCTGTAATCATATAGTACTCCTTGAGTTTATGGAGCTTAACTAAATAGAGAAAGGAATTTTCAAATAAGTCTAAGATTTGCTCATCCTAATCTCGCGTCTATGGCCAAATCATTCTCCCTTGGGACCCTTCACTCTTATTTTTATGCTTATTCAACTAATCTCTCTCTCTCTCTCTCTAGGTGATTAGATAAAAACTATGAATGCTAGGACCCTTAGAAATTTGTTTAGAGAACCAGCCTAGAAGAAAAGATAGAATAGGAAAACGAATATGACTTATCGATCCTATACAGAGAAAGACAAGCAAAGAAGATTGAAGTCTTAGCTAACAGCTCTTTTAGTCCAATCTAGTTGAAACTCTATAACACTTATTCAAAATCCATTTAGCTGCTGATTTGAAAGCACCAATTCACTGATATTGAAAGCGCCTTTTATCTCATGGAATGATCTCAGTTGAAAGTTTAGCTTAACTGAGCTCAAATGCTGGGCAAATGGAGCATACAAAGATACAAAGTTTCTTATTCCAATCCAAAACTCCACTCAAACTTCTTTATGTGATGGGTGGATGCTACCCTTATTAATGTTAGTGGAATTCAGCAAGTTAAACTTCTAAAACAACATTATAATAATGCACAAAGTTCCTACTTATAACGGGTATGAGAGAAATAAAGGATATGTAATCGTTTGTTTGTATTTTGAAGAGTTTGATTTTCAGAGTTTAACTGTTCTGACGGTAGGACAAAGTCCATGTCGTTAGACCAACATAAATCGCGTCGGACTTTTATTTTAGAGAAAACATTGCAGTAATACATGTTGATGGGAAAGATTGGCCATATATAATCGTTGCATGGTGTCCAATCCAACCTAAAAAAAGGATGAAAAACCCAACTCTTACCTCAGGAACCAAGGTTTTCCACTAGAAAACAGATAATATAGGCAACATCCTCATAAATTCACATCTTGTCTGTTGTAATCAACCAAAATGTCTTCTATCGAGCAAATAGTGCTACGTTTCCTCTTTGTTATTTTCACACACACACACACACACACACACACACACACACATATATATATATATAGTGAGAGAGAGAGAGAGGAGAGGCTAGGGTATATGATATCATATATGTGAAAACCATTCACTGAAATTGCTTACCATATATGTGAAAATCACACAGGTTCAACTATATGACTACAATTGGACAAGGGAGTAGCAAATGAAGCTTACAGCAGCCATGCCTGAACAAGCATTAACACCCAAAACCAGTAAGAACTACCTTAAAGCTTGAAGATGGCGGCTTATAATAGAAATTCTTGATGATAAGCAAGATGTTTCAATCATGCTTGAAGATAGGGGACAGACAACAAACCTATACACATCATTCTGTGCCATCCATCCATATTTGGCCACAAAAAATTGTGGTATCATCATCAGGAAGTAGTCCATAGTATTATCTCTCCAGCGGCTTGCTTGAATATTTCTTCCGCCGGATATGCCTCGGGCATTTGGTCATGACCTCCATTTGCCTAATTAATACACCAGAGTAAATTTCAGCAACATAGATATGTATGTACTGCAATAGTAATTATTTTTTTTTGTGTCAAAGGAGACGAAAAGGTTCGAATCCACGACCTTAACGTCCAATGATGGCGGCCATTAGTTCAACTGTTAATCTCGAGACAATAGAAACTTACGTGTACTGATTTGACGTTCTTTGGTGACATTAATTCTTCCTCAGCCTGTTGAAGATAGCACTTCCCTCAACCAAGACATGTTTGCATATTAGCTCTACTCATTTACAGCAAAATTCATTGTCCCTGACAACCCTTAGTTAAGTTTGGAGTCTGATCCTAGCATTATTCTTTACACATAAAGCAACAACAGCTTTGACTGCATTGTGTTCATATGATGTATTTCAATTCAAGTTTTTTCTTTTTGTGGTTTGCAGGTGGAATAGAGCTGCCAATAGGTCATATCGAATTAGTTCATGTCGTGCCGAAATTTTCTTAATTTATAACCAGTCCATTTATAATCGTATACAACCGTGTTTGTGCCATTTATGGATCCCATTGTTCTTTCCTTTCCCCGAGTCAGGACTATTTTCCTCATAACTATTAGTTTGACACCGAAGAAGAGTACAAACCCTAAAAAGTCCCATGTTTTATTTTTGTCGTAGTTGATCCTGATTCGACATTAAAATATGTTAAGAGTCTTTCTCAATAGCCTAATAACTTTGTCCATAAATATTTTATTTTTTATTTTGTCCATATATTAATTAATCTATTTTCTAAATACACATTCTTGCCTTGTTGATAGTAAAAGGCGCTGAAGATAAAAATGTTCAAGCAGACTTACATGGGCTTGAATCATGTACATGCTCCTACTGTTATCAGAGGAAAAGTGAGCAGATACCACCTCAATTTGGTGCTTCTCCAACACATAGCAGATGGTGCTCAAGAGCCCAGGTTTCTTCATAGAGCACACACTAATTTGTGCATCATCACCACAAACATTCAAGATGACATTGGGAGAAGTCCATGTTTGAAATATAGTCGGAAATGGGGGGATGGAAAGAGAGTTTGATGAGTTTATTGCACTGATTGTCAAGTTACTACTTGAACACCCTTGATCAGCTAAGAATGCCTCCCTCGAGTTCGCGGCTAAATTTGGCGGGGTGATTATAGATGGATCACAATTGATACTTGTTACACCTTGGAGCCTCTCTAGCTTTTGTTTTTGAAGCTTCTGGAGGGTCTGTTGTAGGATCTTTATGTAGTTTACTGCTTCATCAACAATAGTGGACTTGTCAACCTGCATAAAATCAAGCCTGTTACAAAATATGATGCTCAATGGAGCACAATAAAAGAAAGATTTCTAACCCGACTCTAAATAATTAGGACAAAGATTGGGAGGTTACAGATTGTGTATAAATGAGAAAAAAAAAGATCACGTATAAATGCTTCCGTCGTTACTGAATCTGGGTACAAATCTTACAAATGGATTGGATAATCGGTGTAATCTGATTATCCAATTAGATTTGGAATCAAATTGAAAGTTAGATTTTATCAAAAGAAATAGGGAAGCCAATGAGATTAGAAAAGGGTAAAATCTAAAGTTTGTTAGTGTTTACACCAAAATCACCTTCTTAAAATGTTGTAGTTGTTTTCTGTTTTTGCGAAAAAGTGTTGGTAACATGCATTTCCATAAAATATCCTGTAAAATGAGGATTTCAGATCTTTATGGAAGAAATAGACATCTAATAAGTTAGATTCTTGATTTTGATTGAGAACCAATCATAAGATTCTCCTTAGATATACTCGATTTTTGATTGAGAACCAATCAGAAGATTCTCCTTAGATATACTCGATTTAGAAGAGACTAATAGTAGAAAATTAAAAGGACCACCTTGTATCTTACTTTCCATCGAGAGATCCAAAGAAAAAAGCTTAAAAAACTTTGATATATAACACAGCAAGTACACTTCTACAGAAGTAAATGATGGCTTCTCTATCAGAACTGTGTGTGTGTGTGAGAGAGAGAGAGAGAGATTCTCTAGCAGAAAAGGAGGGAACAAGGGAAGGTGGACATATGGAATACCCTAGTATGAACAAGTGCACCATGTATGTATATCAACCTCAATCTTGAAGAAACTAGATGTGAATTACCTTTGGAGGAAGTTGAGGAAGCAAATCATGAAGATTAGAAAACATGTTCCTCATCTTCTTCCTCCTTTCTCTCTCTGTCCATATATGTATCTCATGATCTGAGTCACCACCACCACCACCACCTTTCCCTTCATTCACCTCGCATTTTTCCTTCCCATTCCTGCTACTCCCACTCCTCCTTTTACCAGACACCGTCACCAGCTCAGTCCCGGGCGGTGTTTGGCTATTAGAAGTACTCGAATCCGGTAGTTTTTTACCGGATTTTTCTTCACTTCCACCTGAAATATCCGAATTTGAGAAAGCCCATGTCTGGTTTTCCCATAAGAAGCCTTCATGACCACCCCCCTCAGACATAGCTAAAAAGAGATTAAAAAATAGATACTTCAATGAGTATAAATATGTGTATATACACTATGCACCACATATATATATACACGGAGAGAGAGGGGGGGTGGGGGGAAGAAGGGAGGTGGGATTAAAGAAGGAGGTGATTAAAAGGGTGGGAAAGGCAGGTGTAAGAGTTGATTCGTTGGGCTTAGAAAGAAACCAAAATACAATCATAAGCCATATTGCCGTTACTGGCTTCAAAACAAAAAGTGCTAGCTGAAGTGCATTGTACAAAAGAAATTGCACATTGGAGGGGTCCCACTGGGACAATGGTGGCCCACTTGGCTGAATCATACGACATTAATCTTCAAATTACCTTAATTCCAAAGCTATCTAACATTAACAAACTTGTTACATTCTTTTAGGTTAACACATTCATCATGTTGTTCTGTTCAAAAAATAAATAAATAAATCATGGTGTTAGCCTATAGCTTGCATTTATACATTACCATTCGGGACCCATCGTGAGAGTGAAAATGTATCATAAAAAAAATAATTCCAAATCACTCAGGTAAAACTCGTGGTGGTTACCAAAAGAGTTTTGTTCTCTTGCCCTTTTAAAGAAAATTATAATGATTGTCTATTAAATATATACTTATCGCGTGACTAATCCCAAGTTTGTAATTATTAAAGGGCCAAAATACGAGCGTTACAGATAAAATTAATGATTAACCAAGGCTACTGTCTTTGTCACCTTACTTGGTATAAGACTTGCTTTAAAATAAACTTTATCACCCTTCTCTACCTCCTCCAACCGCTTCTATTAGTTAAAAATAAATAAATAAGTAAATAAACAAAACTAAGTCGTTTTTTTAAAATTTGAGGAGATATTCCTATTTTTTTTCAATGGTGTTGGGTCTTAGGAGTCTCTTTGTACAATACTTGCTAAGGTGAGACTACAATTGGACATGTTATTTTTAAAACATTGAACTTATTTTAAATTTTTATTTGATCCTCTGAACTATTACTCTCTCTCTCTCTCTCTAGTATAAAATATAGCAAAGAGTAGTCCATTGGTTGTCAGCTGTGTTGCACATTCAAAATAACTCAATGAAAAGATGGATGGGAATTATATGCCCTAAGGGGTTCCTTCTAAACCTCATACCACCCCCACTACTCCGGCTAATAATACCTGGAATTAGGTCATCCCTCTACACTACCCTACTTTACTCTTCCAAATTTCATCACGTTTGCTATGAGCTCATCAATTACTGGATCAAACAATATGCATATCATATATATGTATGTATTTATGTACGGATAGACAGGTTTGACGTATGATAAAATTATTTTATTATAATCTGAAGCATATGAATTCAAGTCAATGGTACTATAACCTCCAAATTCGAACGTAAACATACATTTACCCTTCTTGAATCTCGCAATAACATGAAAAAAGAAAGGCATTTTTTGTTCCCAAATGATGTCGGGCCTGAACCTGGACGAGCTCCTATTTCAAACATTTTACCAGCCACACTGACTACGAATCATTGGATATTAGTTGTCTTGGCGTAACGTCTCTGATTTCATGTTGTCGTCTGCAAAATCTGCTACTTTCTTTTTTATTGTTTGGTTATTGAGTGAGTTTTTATAATTAACACCGACGTTTCAATATTCATAACATTCTATCCATACGTGGTTTCGAGCTCTTTCTGTATTACACCCACATCCCTGTTAGAGGTTTTTTTTTGTCAGATACTATTATTTGGAAGGAACAACGAGATTCAAACTCATAACCTTAAGGTTTAACAGCGAAGACAATTGTTATTAGGTTTTTACAACTAAGGTTGACATTTCAATAATCATAACATTCTATACATACAAGGCATTTGGTTATTTCTTTATTCCACCCACATCCCTCCTAGATGTTTTTTCTTCTTTTTTTTCAGGTCAAGCACTATTATTCGAAAGGACGACGATATTCAAATCTGTAATCTTAAGGTCCAGCACTAGAAACAATGGTCATTAGGCCAACTGCTAACCTCCACCACCATAAAAGCTTAGTGTAACACTATATTGTGATGTTCAAATTTCATTTGATAAATTGCATGCGAAGAATCATATTATCAAGATTTACTAATGGGTCTTTGGTTTAATAGTACTCTTTGTCTTGAAGTCAAAGATTCAACTCTCCTTCCCCCCTCTCCAAAAAAGAAGAAAAAATTGTCAAAATTCAAAATTTAGTTTCCCATCTACATAAATTTTGAGTGATGGGAGAGTGTGTGATTGAATTTCGTGATAGTTTTGGACAGAATTTCATCATTCAGATGACCAACATCCATTAAGATCCAATCTTTCTTGACAATGGTTGACCCACACTAAAAAGTGAAAATAAAACAAGTGATGCTATTGAGATCTAATTTAATAACAAAAATTCATTAAATTTTAATATTAGGTACAAATATATACTAATAAGATAGAACTGATTTTGAATCCTTAAGTTAACATACCACAAGTGTGAATGAGATTCATTCAATCCAATGACTCAAAATCATTCCTAAAAAATTTCCCCCACAAACTTGAAAACTCTAATGAGTCCATACCTTTCATGTTAATCAACATCATAATAAATCTTCTATTTCCTATGTCTTTCTTCTCTCCCTATCACGGATGTTAAATAATTTGTTTTTTTATTATAGAATTCTAAAGAAGACTCACTAAATTTTACTCTGAATTTCTAATAAATGTTAATTTTTAAATTATTAATTTTTTATTTTTTTTGTATTAAACTGTGTCTAAAAGGACGAGCACTTTTTTTTGATAATATTATGATAGACAACCACCTCATGAAGTGATTACGTGGCATACATGCATGATTGGACCCACATTTCCTTTAGCCCACAAGGAAAATGATGTGCAAAATATTTTTTTTTATTAATTAACAAAAATCCAAGCAGGGATGAAATGGAGTTGTATTTTATAGTTCTCTGAATCAAATGTAATTAATGTTGAAAAAACATGAAAAAGTCTAATATGTATGGACTTTCATCACGACAAGTCATTTAGTTTTTGTCCCACGTTAAGAATTCTGCTTGAATAGCATTACGATTTATTTATTTATTTTTGTTTCAGGTTAATTTACACACATTTCGATTAATCTCCTCCTAAATTCAGTCAATAAGATTATGATTCACCGGTCCGTGATAAACCCTAAAAAATAACCAAAATCTAAAGAGAACCCCATTATTAAAAAAATAGTAGATTTCATTGTCCTAAATTTATATCGTGTACAACTAATAATTTTTCAAATTCAGTCAAATAAAAGAACGAGCCAAAGGAAGTAAGCTGCGGGGGTAAGAAACAAAAGAAATTTGAGCTTAGCGACTGGCCTAATGACTATCATCTCGTTGCCGGACTTTAAAGTCACACATTTAAAAAATTGATGGAAAAGCCGTTCTGTAAGTCTGAATCTAAAAAGACTAATAACTCCAAGTCTAAACGGACCAAACTTCTTTTCCTCTGAAATTGAAAAAAACTAAAATTTTAAGTGATTTCCAAACAGGAAAACTTTAATTGTCCCCATTAATTTTGAGTGACGTAAAAATTATGTGATAAAATCCTCAACATATGAGATTATTAGAGATAACTCGTGTCTAAAAGTATAGTGTGATATAAATAATTTTAAAAAAAAGTTAATGATTATTGAATAAATTTATTAAAATTTATTTTATTTTATATTAAAAATATAGATATTATGACCCCGCTTCACCTTGCAAAGTCCATAAGATTCAATCCCTCCACCCCCACCCCCAAAAAAAAAGGTTAATTACAAGTTGTACCCTGAAAGATAGTTGGAATCTCAAATTATACCTCCAAAGATCAAAAATTTTAATTTATACCTTCAAAGATAGAAATTCGTATCAATATGCACTCCCAAAGATAAAAATCTCAATTTGCACCCTCAAAAATAGAAATTTGTATCAATGTGCACCTAAAAGTAAATTGATAAATTATATCTAGACCCCCTCATGCTTGTCACTTAATCATTTGAATCCTTTCACATTTAGAATATTACTCCTACATCTCATGACGTTTGTGCACACATAACATGTAACCCCCTTCATTGATATCTGTTAATATAACCGTTAAAAAATATAATTTTATCCTAATGAAAAAATATAATGTCCAATGGTAAGTTTGATTTTAAACTTTAGAATATATCGAACCCACAAAATAAAGGGTAATATAAAATTATAATTTTTTATTAGGATAAAATCATATTTTTTAACGATTATATTAACAGATATTAATGAAAAAAGATTCCGTGTTACATGTGCACAAACGTCATGAGATGTAGAAATAATATTCCAAATGTGAAAGGGTCCAAATGATTAAGTGACAAGCATGAGGGGATCTAGCTATAATTTATCAATTTAGTTTTAGGTGCACATTGATACAAATTTCTATCTTTGAGGGTGCAAATTGAGATTTTTATCTTTGGGGGTGCATATTGATACAAATTTCTATTTTTGGGGATAAAAATTAAGATTTTTTATCTTTGAGAGTGCAATTTGAAATTCTAACTATCTTTCAGGGTGCAACTTATAATTAATTCAAAAAAAAAACCACCAATGGTGGGTCCCACAATAAGACATGGAAGCAGAACAACAGCCCCATAAATTGATTACGTGGCACACGCATAAATGGGCCCACTTTTCTGTTTGCACACAAGGAAAATAATATGAAAAAAAAAACATTTTCTTTAAAAAAATCCAATCCAGGATGATATGAACTGGTCTTGCATCATTTTTGAAATCAAACCTATATAATAAACAAAGTATAAAGCACAACAACAATTTAGATTGCTTACATATATTTCAATCCATTGGCTTATCTTACAATCTACATTTTAATCGTAATAAATCTATTCACTTATTTATATTAGTTGATGTACCCGAGTATTACACGTGGATAATTTTTTGATGAATTTATGCGTTGATTTGAAAATTTTACAATAATACTACCTGTCTAGGAATATATTTCTTACTATGAAAGTCCACCAATCGTTGATAATTAATGAATGGAATCCAATCAAATTGTTTGATATTGTGATAGTTAGTCAAACAATTATCTTAAGTTTATATTTAATAAGATAAATATGAAACAAAAAATAAGCAAAACTTATGCTCTGCTTGGTACGATGGAAAAATGGAAGGATGAAAAGTTGGAAGAAAATGAAAAATTAAAGGGATAGATAAAACACAATATTTGGTAAGGAAGGAAAATAAGAAGGATGGAAAAATAGATGAATGAACTTTCCTTTCAACTCACCAAAATCAATCCCTCTAAAATTAGGAGTAAAGTGGATGAAAAGTTAATTATTTTAGTTGAAATGTATCTTATTTGTCTATATATCATTTGATATATATATATATTATGTATACATTAATTTTATATATAAATACAATGATAGAATATATCTTTTTTATTTAAAAAAAAATTAAAATAAAAAAATATTTTTTCCATTTTACCAAGCACAAAAAAAAAAAATAATCATTTTTATTTTTCATCTATTCTACCAAACACAAAAGAAGAAAAAATGTATCATTCCTACTTTTCTTTCTTGAATGAAAGGAAGTGTATCTCTCCTATTTTTTATCCTAAACAGAACATTAATTTAAGAATTTAGCCTAGAATGGAACAACCCAACATAAGGAACAAGAATTGGGGAAACAATGAGTTTAATAACCGAAAGAAATCATGAATATGACCTAGGGGTGCAACTTGGGCGTCTAACTCGACTTTAATCTGAGTCTAATCCGAAAAAATTAAGATTTGGCTACCATTTTTAATAGTCGGGTTAGGCTTGGGTCAAAAAAATTCTAACTCGAATTCAATTTGAGCAAGCCTCGAGTTGACCCCTCTGGGTACCAGGTTGAACCAATATATTAAAATCTGGTTCAACCCGATTTATTATTTGGGTTCAACCCGAATATTCATAACCATATAAATACATTTTTAAGTCTAGGGTTAATTTGTTCTAAAGTCTTTATTGTGCGTCTCTCTCACTCACTATTTAAGTAATGCACTCTATGTTTGTACAAGGATTCTGATTATATTTATTTGTGTTTTGTATGGTTGTGGTTGTATTATCTCAAACATTGAATTCTTAATATTATGGTTTTTTATGTTAAAAATTTGATTGAAGTTGCTAGTTGTTAATTTAAGTGAATATTATGTAATATTGTAGGGGATTTATCCGCACGTTCAGGATGTCTTCCCCCCACGGAAGGATTTTGGCTGACCTGGTTTCACCCCTCTTGAAGGTTATTCACCAGTAGCCTTTATCCCTCTTCGCCCACAAGAGCTTGTTCCACATCGGAAGAGGATCGTCTCCCCCTGCGGGCGAAGAGGGGTAAAAGCTACTTGTGAATAAACCTCAAGAGGGGCGAAGCCAGGTCAGCCAAAATCCTTCCGTGGGGGGAGGACATCCCGAACACGCGGATAAATCCCCTACAATTATATATATATCAAGTTTAGAATAACACATCTATTTTGATCTCAATCCAAATTCAACATGTTAAGTAACCCGAATTCAACTCGAGTCTGCCCGAATTAAACTCGAATAGTGTTCGATTTAGTCCCTTAACCCGAGGTAGGATTAGAATAATGTTAAAAATTATATACCTAAAATTAAACTATGGTCGACTATCTAACCTGCCCAACCCCCGAGTTGCACCCCTAATATTACCACCAAGGCCCAGATCTCTTACAATGAAGCATGGCAATGGAAAACCGAAGATGACAGATAAACTATCATCTTGATATGTACCTGATTTCCGTTCTTAACTAATGAATATTCCTCTAAAATAATGGAGTATAAAAAACCCTTGAACTTATCTTTTTTTTTCGAAAGTGTAAGATAAGACCCTGAATTATCTTGCTTGTTTACGGTAAATAAATTTTTGTTCAAGTCCATTTGGGCTCTGAAATACTCAACTTGAACAAAATATATAAAAGTATCTTATGCAATTCACTTCATGTATACATTGAATGGCCCAAAAATAATTACAAGATTAAAAGATGTCACAAAAGATAATATGAGAATTAGTTGTATTATTAGAAATATTTTAGTCAATCAAAAGTTTTTTCACTTTCAAACTAAAATTTTAAGACTCAATAAGATGTTGAGTATCAACCTTATTCCTGCATAAAATATCAGCACTTGATGCTAAATAAAGAAAAAGAATAAACGGTACACAGCCTTCAAGCAGGTAAAGTACCACAGCCCACAATGTTCTAAAAGTTATATAATGTCATTATTATTTTATTTCAGCAAATATTTATACCATCCCAATGTTTCATTGTATTCAAAGTGTATAGAGAATACCTCCTCTACTCATCAAATTTCCTATAATTTACAAACCTCCCCACCTTGCAGTAACCCATGCAGTTCATGAGCAATGAAAAGGGCATTTCAAATGGAGGAATTAAGATAGAATAATAAGGTTTCAACCAAAGTAATGGGGTAACCATCTGTTTGAGGAGGATGACGAGGAGGGGGGAACAAAAAGGTTTCTGGACAACAGTAGTAATGGTGTCCTAATCAATTTTGTAAGGCAGTCATTTTACAAATGGGGCAGAGATTCTTCTGTGTTAACCACTGTTTAATGCAATTGGTGTGAAAGACATGCCCGCAATCCAACGTCCCGATATAATCTCCAGTAAGATATTCCTCCTGGCATAGTAAGGTTCAAGTGAGAATTTTTACAAATAAATAAGCCAGAATGAGCATTCTAATAATGGCCACTCCCTATCTCTCCCCATTTTTTCCAAGGGTCGGAAAAGGTCCCTCCCAAAAAAAAAGGGAAAGGCAAAGGAAAAACTGATCCCTCTCTCTCTTTCTTTCCTCAAGAGTAGTTGAAGATAGATAGCTCTCACCTGACATATACAGCATGGTTCCAAATTTGACCAGGATCCAACTGCGAGTGGATAATATTTTCTGTGTTTCATAGACCGCATAATAGCATCCTCACTCAATCCAGTGTTCACGTTTCCTATGCGCTCTTCCAGCGCCAACAATTCCTGATATCCCAGCAGCCATACATTTAAGAGACAACATCCAATGAAGATATAACTCACAGGAAAATAGATTGCATTACCTCATAAGACATGTTATCAACATCAAGCCTCATATCTCTATGTCTGTCATGCAACTCAGCGACCCCATTAATAAATGGTTCAAAAAGCATGTAATCCTGCCATTATCATGACATGCAGATCAAAACAAAGAGCAGACCTAACCACATCATTATCGTCAATAGAAAGACTACTAAAGCATTCTCCTCATCAGTAGAACATCCAACAAGCCAACAAGGAGCATGCCTGGGAGACCTTTTCAATTTGCACTCTTTGAAACATACGTGTAGTTGTACTTTAGTCCTATCGAATTAAACTACAGAACATGTACCAATTTTCTATTTCAAAAATTTGGTAGAAACCAGACAAATAAACGTGAGCCAGTCAAAGATAATTTAGATGGCTTAGGTTGGAATTACAATGAAGAGTGCACTGGTCATATCCTGCTCTCTACTTGTCTTCCAGACTCGTACACCCATCTGGACTCTACCTGGAAAATTAAATATGAACCAAGTAGCAGCACTTATATTTTTGGGCCAGACACCTAATCTAGCAATTAGTTTTATAGGCTCAACTCAATTCCCAACTATTTCTATCCATGGCCACATTCTCCATTAAACCTTGACCTATCATACATTTCACTACTATTTCATTCAAAATTAATTTCGGCCTACCTCTACCTCTCACATTACCATCGAAAAATCACCCTTCCATAGCATTGCATTATTGGTGCTAAGGCATCCAACTAAACCAATTGGAAATGAGTGGAGAGGCCCTTTAACCATATTAACCATACAAGCTCTCTTTTCACCCTCCCCACATGGAACCCAAGCTTGCACAGGGACTAATAAACAAACAAACACCTACACTGATACCGGGAAATTCAATCGGGTAAAAGACTTAGCCCACTGACCCTCCAAGGTTTAGCTCAGATACCATATTACAACATTCAACTCAAAATCAACTGACAATGATTGTAGAGGCTCTTTAACCATATAAATCAACCTTTGGTGGACTTGGTCATTCGACATAAGATACAAGCTCTAGCTAGGTCTTGTATAAACATGTCCATACCAGCTATATCGATTCTTTCATAATTTTTCTCTGCGCTACTTCTGCGATTTTCAGGAATATACTTATTTCTTATTTTACCACACATACATTTTAACATATATTAGAATAATTGTCCTATGAAACTGACATTTCAACCTAAGAGCAAGAGGTATACACCAATTATATAGGTTATGTCCATAACTACCTTACCAGAATTCACAAAACTCCAGACAACCCATGATCTGGGTACTTCGATCCCATACGAGGTGGGTTCAAAGACCTAAATCACCAAAATGTACGACACCAACTTGTAATACTAACCCTAAATCGATTCGCTTTGAAACATATAGCACAAATAAAGAAATAAATATGATTGACTACGTGTATATAGATTTATAATTATATATTATTTTAGATAATAGAAAATCAAGCACTATAAGATAAATGGTAACTGACTTGGTGTTTATGGATGTTCCATGATACATAATGTTGTATAGTAATAAAAACGATCTAGACAAGTGTTCCAAAACGAATAGCAATACAAAACATCGTACCAACTAAACTTACTCCCATTGTACTGTGTACCTAATAAAGTATTGTACCGAGTACCAATACTATTACCAGTACCACATGCTAAAGCCACCCATAATCCAGGTAGCATTTATGTCAACACAATCCTGAAGATATTTTTTTGCCCCGTAAGTTGCACAAAAAAATCAAGACACAAAAATTGTTGGTAGCTAGATACGTCATTCAACAACTAAACTTGATGTCGACCAAAACTAATGCACGGTTTTTATATTTCCTTTATTTCATATTCAGCCATTATCTTTGCCCTGTTTTCTTTGGAGGAAAAACACTCCTAGCAATCTGGATAAAAGATATGTCCACCGTTTTACACACGAATTACTATTAGAAGTCATTTTTCATATCATATGAATTTTGAAGGAATGTAGAGCATATAAAACTAATTCCATTGATCATGAATCATCATAAAGTCAAAACCAAACCTCTGTTCGTAAATTTCCACCCCTTCGGACAGTATTCAAGAGCTGACGAATCTGTACGGGACAAAAAGTCATCAGTACAACAATGACAGGCCTTTTTCAAACAAAAGAGAAAATAAATTTCAATAACATTGAAATGTATGTGCAGTAAAAAGAAAAGGTAGAAGTAAATAACATCTAAATTCTTTCTTGCTAGAAATATTCACATATACAATCTACATTGAGGCCATCCTATATAAAGCACATGTAGATACTTATCTAAAATTACACACAAATCGAGACAACTTTTCATAATCCCGAATCAAAATAAATTCTCTAAGTGGTTCCATTGGAAAGTTTTTGATATCAACTCAAATAATACTCAACAAATTCTTGTCTTAATAATGTCAAAGTCAACTACATGAATCATATTCCCTCATTGTAGTCGGTACTAACAGTCATACTTACATGTTTGCCCTAGCTTTACCACCGATAGATATCATCTCTCTCTTCCTCACTAGCACAGTCATAGATCCTTCTATAAACATGTTCACACCAACTACGTCGCTACTTCTATTGTTTATAAAATACTAATTCATTATCCTATTTTGGTTTTATCACAATCCAATTTAGCATTCTCATTTCCATCACACTTAATTTTTTATCATAATTCTTTTTTTAACATTCTATATAACAAAGCATTGTTGGTCAAATAGATGCCTTGTAAAACTTAAATTCTAACTTAAGATGTATACGTGGATTATAGAGTATACTAGATGCACTTAATGCCATAATCTATCGAAAATAAGATATTTTCAAAAATTTGCTGCAAAATCCATATCTGCTACACTAGCTCGATAATGAAAGACCTAGGCAATTCCAGCAAACCTTTTAAGCAAAAATCCCCATACCATAAAAAAATATAGGGCACAGACCGCAACAAGATGTTCAACAAGAGTCCAAAAACCATGTGTCCATCTCTATCGGGAAATAGATGTTCAACGACCAGAAGCCACGTCCATCAATATGGGGAAATAATACTAATTACAACTCATTAAGGCCATCTCCAATGGTTACTCAAAATTGAGTAAAAAGTTTGATTTGACACTCAAATCTTTTCAATAAATTCGCTTTTATCCCAAGAGCGCTTTTCTTTGATTTGTTTCCTCAAATAATTTCTTCCTTTTCCCTTTTCTTTCCCTCCAAAACATCTTTCCCCTCAATTTTACCTTCCATCCAATGGAAAAACTTAAATTTTTAACCAAATATTTTTTTGAAAAGAATCCCTATATTCTCCTAAGAGTATATTTTTTTTTATCCAAAACTTTTTTCTTCTTTTTTTTTTCCGTACTTCTTTCCCTCCAACATCTCTTTTTCATTTTAATTATCCCCTCACTTTCGAAGCTCCTTTATCACATTTTAACTTTTCCTATAGTATGAGAATATCATTCATTTTTTGTGATGTCATTTCTTCTTTTTTAAAGTTAAAAAAAAAAATACATGACACTTTATTGTAAAGATTTAAATATGCGGATATCACAACAAAGTCATGTTTTTGGCATTTACCAATAAGTTTGAAAAGAAAATAGAATAGAGAGATACATCAAGGAGGGTGAAGTATAACTATTGGATCTTTAAAGGAGAGTGAAATCTAATTATTGAAAATTTGGTCAAAGATTTGAGTCTCCTTCATTTCGTATGAGTTTGAGTAAAGGATTGGAGTTTGCTTGTAGGCTGTTTTTACTCATATTTAAATGTAAGTTGGGATTCGAGTAAGGATTGGAGATGCCCCAACACCTGCGCAATTCAGCAAATCTAATCCCGTCACAGTAGTAAACAAAGACAAAGGAAACATGACTGGTATTCTAAGGGCGAAGTATAGCCCAAAGAGCTTTAATGCAACCCACAAAAAACTCACAAGTAACACATGTAATAGTTACCTAATCCTGGGAGAGCATCCGCTCTTAGCACGCATTTGTATGAGTGCGTGTGTGGTGTAAGTGATTACCCGGAAAATAATAATTACACAAAGGTAGTCACAGAAGTAAAAATTATCAACAGGTATATAAATAAATAGGCAACAAAGACTGATCTGTAACATGGCAGTTGATAATCATCCAAAGACACTCATGTAGTCTATTGCAAAAGGCTGTGGAAAATCAACCTAATGGAAACACAATAAGAAAAGTAATCTCGGCCATAAAAGGATACATGGTTGAAAAACAAAAAGCAACAAAGATTGTAACCTACAATGAAACACTAGATGACCATCAACAAGAAAATCAAGCATTTCTAAGAAATTCATCCTTCATACAAGAACAAAATGAAGATACAATATTATGGTAAAGGTGATGATGTGAAATCAATAATGTTAGCAATAGCACCATGATAAAATATGTTCAAGATATTGAAGTTCAACTGCAGTTATTCTACACTATACTGATCCATACTATGTGAACAGAAATGTGATCGCCAAGCAAGAATTCAAAGCATAAGCAGTGTCAATATTCCAGGTTTAAGTACAAAGATAATAAACTAAGTTGTATATATTGAGGGATATTAATGAGGAATAGTTTCAACACAAACCTCAGATACCAGTCTTTGTCTCCCCTCAGCAGCAGCAACTAAGGCACGCCGGCCAACAACATCTTCACCCGGTTCCTCCATCTGTAATGCTGACCTTGGATACAGTTGACGATGGTCCCGGCTCCTACGTCCAGATGGCATTGCTGTCTCGTCTGAAGAAGAAGAGGAGCCTGAAGGCAACAGTGAAAAATGACCTCTCTGACCTTCAGACTCAGATCCAACAGAAGTAAACAGAGTCCAAGGAGCAACTTCTGACGATCTTTGATGATTTTGAGTTGGGGTGTTGTGATGAGGAATCCAAACATTAGGAACAGGAGGGGACCAGGACCAGTCGATACCAGAACCAGGACCAAGTCGAGAACCAGAAGGAACACCCCCAGCAGAGCTTGAACTTCCTGCGGTTAAATTCCAATTAGCAGGGTCTTGTACCAAATTCCTTGTCTCAGTTGAAGAAACAAACATGGGGTACTCTGCTGCATTGTTTCTTAAGTTGCTTCTCAAGTTCGCTTCATCTCGCGATACACCACCTCGCTCTCCCGAAAGCATAAGAGAACTTGGTGAACTTCGAGCTCTCAGATTAGAAGCTCCATTCCAAGGGAAGGGAGTTATACTTCTTGGCAGACCATGGGCATGCATTAAATGAGGTTGGTTTGGTGGATCATCTACTGAAGTGGTTGGTCTCAAATCCAGAGAATCAGAAAATGTGATGGGTCTAGATGGCTGGTGGGAAGAGCAAATGGTCGAACGTCTGGTGGCAGTCCCTGTAAATGGTAAATCAAATGGAGCAGATTCCTGCTGTCCCAGATTCCCTCTAACACCATAATTTCTTCGGGTATTTTCTGCAATTCCAGTAACACTAGAGGTAGGAAAAACATCAAAAGCTACTCCTCTAGCCCCAACTCCAATTCCCGGATCTAGCTGTTCCAAATTACTAATGTTGAGCGAGGTCACCGGTGGAGAAGATATACTTAAACTGCTAGAAGCATTATAACGACCAGGAATAGTTTGTCGTACAATGTTCTCAGACTGTGGAAAGCAGCTTGAGCTCCCACCAGAGTAAAACTGTGCAGAAGTACCTTCAAGAGTCTTTCTCTTGCAGCATAATCCCCAGCTGCCTGAAAAAGAACCTGATCCACCATCATTCTCCATCAAGTTAAAATTTCCAGAAGAAGTCCCCACATTGCCAGAAGAAGCCCTATCCCAACTACCATTATCAATGTCGCCCATGTACCCGGCATTTAAATTTGCATTCAGTGGAATATGATTTGCAACAGACCTCTGCATACCTAAATTTCTACCAGCAACCCTGCTACCAAAGCTACTACTACCACTCTCACGAAGAAGGGCATTAGTTGGTTCAAATCGTTGTTCTTCTACTCTTGCATCAATCCCGGCAGGAGCACTAAACGAATATGACCAGCCATGTTCCATTCCTGATCCATCATTTGAGTTCTGGTATTGTAGATTTGAACTAGAACTAGAATCACCCAAGTTCCAGCCGCTAAAACTATGAGAATTATGCCTGATAGCATTGACACTGCTAGAATTCCCCTCACCGGAAGGAAGCATGTAGTTTGACAATTGGCTTTCCATGTTGTTCCAAGCAGCCGACTGATCCATTCCAGTATTATCGGAAACAGATCCCTGGTTAAGATCTAGAGATTCAGGAAATGAATCTAAGGCACTCCTCTGTCCTTGCATTACAGCCAATTTTGTATCCAAAATAAATGCAAGGGAATGAACAATATTAAAACCCAAGGCCGTAGAGCACTTCTTACGTAGAACTGGATTCACACACCCCACAAAACTTGATACGAACTAACTCACTCAAGCAGGAAGATAGAAATCTGGAAAACATTCAAAGACTTCAAAAACCCATATAGTTTCAATTATTTGCACATATAATAAAAGAGAAAAAACTGGAGCTAGTCTGCCAAATGCATGACTCAATGCTTCTTGCACTCAACACACAGACCAACTTTAAAGTCCAGTTCAATGATAAGACAAGAGTCCGCGATGCAAAAAGAGCAATGCAAATAGCAATTTAACAAGACAAGTCAGAAAGAGGAAATAGGTGAAAGAAATGATGACAACCATATTTGAAACATGAACTTGCCACCATACAAGATTGACAACCTGCTATGCAACTGGAACACTAAAAAAGCTCCCTCTTTTATCAAATTTAACAGCTAGAAACAAAACTGGCATGACAATTTATGTGTCCTTTCTCAAAAAAAAAAAAATCTTTAAAAGCTAAAAATCATCTTTAGTGTTCAATGGTGGCTAGAAGAAAAACTGACAGGCAGATGATTCTTCAAGAGCTCTAGTACTTTTGGCTAGACATTCAGCCCCTCATTCGTATTCAATGCTCACTAGCGTGTGAGCTCACGAAGGTAATACTCCAAATTTTTTATTCAAAAGTGTGTGCATGCAACTATCAACACCTAGTTGGAAAAACTGAAAAGATTTATCCTTGAATGTTATTTTCTCATTTAGAAATCTGTATTTTCTATTTCAACATAGGGAGATTAGTTACTAAACTTTCAGTTCCATCAAACATCCCCCAGGTTGATGGTTGCAAGCACACACTAATGACAAAATTTGTGTTCTTTCTCCCTAGGAACAAGTTGCCATGAAAATTAATACAACTTGAAGGACACTAGTCTTCACCCCGAATTAAGGATCAAAATGCCAACAAGTTCTTCTAAACATGTCCACTTCATTACTACTTTAGTACATATGTTTTCAAATTTCGCTCAGAGTCATATTGATACATTATAGAAGCTCATAGTTCTAAACATTTATATTCAGGTCGCAGAACTAGCACACACCCACGTCACACACACAACAGACAACAGTAGTTCATAGATATACAGAAACCAGTTTGATTTTCTCATCCCAGAATAAGACTAACATATTCCAACTCCTCAATAGCTGCAAAGAAATTTTGAAAATTTTTAAATCCAAATTTGATAATATTAACACAAAAGGGAAAGTTCAAAAAATCTAAAAGCACAAATTAAGCCCAAATCTTTGTAATTTACCTATGAAAAAAAAAACATATAAGACAAACTGACCCAGATAGCAAAACCTACAAAAAAAATATAAAAATTTAAAGGCAGCAAAAATAATCACATCCTAAAACTAACAGATCCCTCTTTCCACTACCACGATTGCATCAACACGCATACAATTAATACTCCTAAAAAAAATTTTAAAAAAAAACTAAAGAAACATGCAGGTAATTGATTATTAAGAACAGATTAATATAGAATAAAGGAAAACAAAAAAAAAGGCTTGTTTAAGACAAGTACCTGGGGTACTAACAAAGATAATGATCGCTGAACCGACCGATCGTTCTTAAAGATAGTCGTTTATTTTTATTTTTTTTCTTCGCAAGCTAAAATATAAAGATATATAAAGACAGTAGTGTGGCGATGGCGAGTGAGAGGCGATTCCTAACAATGACTGTAACCCCTCTCTCTCTCTCTGTTTATTCGATGGTTTCGTTTGATGCTGAAGAGTAGATACAAACAAGGCCGCTGAAAATTATGGATTGAAAGAGTGGGAGAGAGAGAGAGAGAGGAGTGCGGGGTTTTGAGAGAAGACGTTAGATTAAGTAGTAATCAACTATTTAGAAAGAGAGTGGTGAGTTTGTACGGTTGGATTTATTGAGGTTTTGAGCTTAAGATGATTTTGAGCCGTCCGATTCAACAGCTGGGACTCAGCTGAAAGTCCGGAAAGAGGTGTAATGTAATAATGGTGAAATCCAATGAGTCGTCCGAGTCCTGACCCTTTTTGGTAATGTCCAACTTTTCGATAGATTCGCCAGATACGAGTAATCCCATACCTTACCAAAAATTACCAAAACAATTTAGGGTAAATTACACTTTATACTTCAAAAGATTTAAAAAAAATTATTTTATATTTTTAAATATTAAATTTTCATATTTCACCTTTAATGTGACACTTATATTAGCTTCCGTTTCTTATTCTCATTAATGTTAATTGGGTAATTTTTAACATATTGTGCAACGAAAACTAATGAAAAAATCATATTACAACATTTATAATTTATATAATAAAACGTATAAGAAGTCGAATTTTATCTACTATACATCTTTCCCCTCAAAATAATCACATCACCTATTTTTATCACATATCTAATTATTTAGTATTTGAATAATTTATAATTTAGCATAATTTTTATTTTAGATATTATTCATATATGATAGTATACATATGTGTGAGAAAAATTGATCGAATTATGTATTTTGAAAAAAATTTATCAATATTTTTTAAAAACTAATGGGTAAAAATAAATCTTGAATGATGTAATCAAAGAAATAAAAGAATAAAAATTATTATTTAATATAATGAGATCAATTTTTTTGGATTTAAATTTTATATTTTATTGCATTTTCAGACACATATTATTGCTAATACACTAATGGTTAATTCAATTATGGATATAGAAATAGACTTTTATGTAAGTTTATTACTTAAGAAAAAGTTCAAAATAATTTAGAAGTCAAATACTACTTATAAAATATTTTAAAAAAACTTAAAAGTCAAATTATGTATAGAAACAAAACTTATATGAAGGTATAAGAATATAATTAATTTTATAAAAATTAGTCTAGTAATACATGATATGCGTTGCATGTGAATATAATTAAATAATATTTTTTTTATAAAATTTAATAAAAATATAAATTATGTGTAATTGAATTGAATAAATAAATTATGTGTTAGAAAATTAATTATTAATTTAATTTTTACTAAACGTAGTTATTAATCTATATATGTATTATATAGTAATTTGATTTATTAGAGTTATTATTATAATTAAAGACTTAAAGTTATAAGAACAAGTAGAGTGAATGACAAGAAACCTAATGTTATATGATGAGTAGAGTTTTGATAGGACATGACACGGAAAATAATAACTAATTAAGGATACATAGGATATGATTGAATTAACGTTATTAAATATGGATGAAATAGAAAATGAAAAAAATTTCACATATGTTGATATGTATAAGTAGTATAGATATAGATATAAATAGATTAAGTGTCTAATATATAAATTTTAAATTTTAAAAATATTTGAGGTACAAAGTGTAATTCTCACCAAATTTTATTAAATAAACATGAATTGTTAAATGAATGAAATTCATTAATTTTGTCGGTTGGAAAGTGATCCAGCCATCTATATTAATTTAATTAATTTTTTATTAATGTTTGCTGATAAAGGTTGATGTTTGAATTATTTTGAGCCGTCCGATTCAACTGTCGTGACTTGGCTGAAGAGAGAGGTGTAATAATGATGAGTCCACCGAATCCTGACCCTTTTTTGGTAATGTCCTTAAATTTTCCCTAGATGCCGTAAATACTTTCTCATGCATCCGTCTCGTATACTTACATGATTATACCTTTTTTTTTTAACCATTAGGATATTCGGATAAATTTATGTCTATTTTAATTAATTGTTTTTTTGATTCAATTAAAAGTAAATCATTCACGTTGAGACTATAATATTCATAAGAGATAAATCTTTCATAACTTGACTTAAAAAAATTACAAAAATCATATTATACTACCCATTTGACTTTTACATGGTTATACCTCCCACGAAATCAACTCAAGTTATAAAAATTTCAATTTGTAATTGAAATTCAATTTTAACCTTTTTGACTCGAATATTTTCGATGTTTACATTTTTAACTTGAGTTACACTATCCACATAGCAATGTGAATTGAAATTGAGTTTAATTTAAATTTAATTTTTGATTTAGAAAGGTCAAGCTAGATTCAGGATTCAATCCGATTATTGTATGTCGAAAACGGGTATTCATTACCAGCAAGTTTTGCCCAGATTTGCGATCACATTCGGGCTAGAGAGCAGAATAGGCTATTGGACCTATTTTTCAAAACTTCATATCATTTGTCCTTAATAAACCCAATAAATTTGCGTTTGTTTTTATTGACAAAATAGATTATCATATTGTAATTAGATTCTAATTTTCATTCAATTATTTACCTAATTTTCATGGACCAATAAAATCGAGATCATTTTGGGCTTTTAGATTCCACCCACTAAAAATTGCAAAATGAAGTCTCTGTATTAGGGCCGTGGCCCAATAAAGCCCAAACATTACATCGGGCCATGGGCCATTTATAGCCCAGTCTATACCAGGCGACAACGGTGGGCAGCTTGCAAATCAACCGGGATAACTGTTGGCCCTTTTTTTTGGGCCTACAGAATAAGCATTACCCGGTCCAGAAAGATGGTCTATTGACCCGCCAAATCGAAAACAAAAGTCCGAATTTCGGTATAAACACACAAAATTGTCCGAACATAGATTGTGAGTCATTCTAACTTCGAAAAAAATTGTTCCACCATCGGCCCAATCTGGACCGTTATCAAAAAGTTAGGGTGAACCGTGCAAAGCACGTTATGTGGATAAAAAGTGAATAGAATGTTTGTCGGAGTTAAAATATATATATTGTTGTATTGCAGTTAAATAATTAAATATAAATATAAAGAGTTATTATAATTAAAAAAAAAGTAATAAGATAAATTGTTAAATCTAATGCTCCGTTTGGTATTAGTAAAAAAATGAAAAGATGAAAAATCGAAAGGTTTGGAAGATAGATAAAACATCATATTTGATAAAGAAGGAAAATAAGATGGATGATCAACAGTAAGGGTGTCAATCGTATCGTGTCGTATTATTTTCGTGTCGTGTCATTTGCGATAATGTTATTTTCGGGTCGAATTACTTTAGATACGTGTCGGGTTTGTGTCAATATTCGTCTTAATAAAAAATTATTTAATTTGACAATAACTAATATAATACTATTTAAAAAATTATAAAATTCTTATTTTCTATCTACAATACTCGATAAATAATTATTTTCTATCTACAGTACTCACTAATTATATTATTTGTGCCGAACCTTAATTTGATTCATTTATTACACGTGTTAACTAATCGTGTTATTTTTGGATTCATGTCGGGTTCGGTTCGAGTCGGGTTTGTGTTAACGGAAAAAATTGACACTTTTAACGGACTGTTGATTTAATGGTACTTCTTGTCTTGTAAAGATTTTGTCTTCTTGAAGTAAAGGGTTCAAGCCCTCTTCCCCTTCCTTCATTTTCTTCCAAAAAAAAAAAAGAAAAATAGATAGAAAATTAATTATTTATGTTAAAATTTATCTTATTTGTCTATTTATCTTTTGATATATACATATATTATGTATTACATTAATTTCATATATAAATATAATGATAAAATATGTATTTATATTTTTTTAAAAATTAAAATTAAAAAAATATTTTTTCCCTCTTACTAAGCACAAAAAAAATTAATTATTTTTATTTTTCATCCATCCAACCAAACATAAAAAATAAAAAAAAAAGTGTATCATTCATATTTTCTTTTCTTGAAAGATAAAAAATATATTTCTCGTATTTTTCATTACTCTTATTTTTCATCATTTCTACCAAACAGAACATAAACTATTAAAATTGTTGTTGTACTTCTCTAATTCAGGAGTTTAAGTAGAAAATTTTGTTTTATTAATGTAAGTCATTCAAATTACATTTTCTTTGCAAATGCTTTGGGGACACGACTGGGGTGGAGCCGGCATTTCACAGGACAAACTATGATCGAAAAAATTTTCAGCTCATTCACCGATTTATCGAAAACACTATTAAATTTTTAACTTAAATAAAATATAAATAAAAAATTATAAAATAACATATATTTTGTACATTTCAACTCAATCATATATTAAAATGGAAGACGATGTTATTTCAAATTATAAAATTTGTATATAATGAATTGATGATAAACTAAATTTTTAGTAATTTTCTTCAATATACAAAACCATATTATCCGTGATAAAATTATTATTCATTTTATATTGAGAAATCTAGTTAAAATCATAATTTACTTTGTTTGTGTACTCGATCCATAAACTAAAACATTGATTTTTTTTGGAGGGGGTAATGGGTCACTAACTTATCAAAAAATGAAAAAAAAAAAAAAAAAAACTAACACTATAGTAAACATTTCCAAAAATTAAGGGGTATAAATGTATTAAAATAACCAAAATTATCGTCATTAACAATAAGATTCAAAAAGTCACAAGGGCAAGTGTCCACCCTCATTCCTATGTGGCTCCGCCCATGGACACGACACTTTTAACTTTTAAATTTTTTTTTGGATGAGAAGTCATGAAATTCCATTTCTACATTAAGAAGTCAATGACTTAATCAGACGATGCTTCCAACTTCCAAGTTATCAAACTCCTCTAGTCTATTTCCGCAACTATGTTAAACACACTATCTTTTTACACCATTTTTCCGTAACTGTGTTAAACACACTATATTTGATAACTTGGAAGCATCTTCTGATAAGGTCATTGACTTCTGAATGTAGCAATGGAATTTCATGACTTCTCATCCAAAAATAAAAGAAGTCAAAAGTGTCGTGTCCCCAAAGCATATGCAAAGAAATTGTACTTTGAATGACTTACAATAATAAAACAGAATTTTCTAGTTTATTTCCGTACCAAATTCGAG